ATCATTTAATTCTTAATATAGCAGGACGAGCTGGATACTACTATTATCCGCATTTTACAGGAGAGAAAATTGAAACCTAGAGATGGTTATTAAATAACTTACCTAGACCATAATAGAGCTTGTAAGTGGTTTGCATTCAGGATCTGAACATGGTCTGTTTGACTTCAAAACCCATGCTGCTGCCATCATACCACTCAGCTTTCACAGAGGGGCTTTCCAGTCTTTTCTGCCTGGGCAAATCTTAGAGTACTCCTTAAACTTATTGGCCTGACTACATCAAACTGCTGTTTAACCTTCTGAGTACATTTGTCCTGCTTCCCATACATTCAAGGGCAGAAACATTAAGACCTAATACTGCTATATACATAGTTGACGATTATTGAATGCATAAATGAATGAGTTGCTATCATTGTTTCTTACAAGGTTCATTGTAAAGGACTACTAGTGGTATCCTCAACAAATAAAAAAAAGGAAATTAATACTAGAAAATGATTCCATTTCCTTGTTTGTGATACATTAATTGCCTACAGTCCTGCAGAGCATATAAAAATTAAGGATCTGTGTTCTTAGGGATTAAAAAAAAAAAATCGGGGCGCCTGGGTGGCTCAGTTGGTTAAGCGACTGCCTTCGGCTCAGGTCATGATCCTGGAGTCCCGGGATCGAGTCCCACATCGGGCTCCCTGCTCAGCAGGGGGTCTGCTACTCCCTCTGCCCTCTTCCCTCTCGTGCTCTCTGTCTCTCATTCTCTCTCTCTCAAATAAAAAAAAGTAAATAAAATAACATGATGAACATATATTCGCTTATGAATTTGAGAGGTTTTCCTCATTCATTTAACCTGGAAGTTAGAATCCTGACTATTGTGGGGGTTCAAATAGTCTTTCTATATCTGTGCTTCCTTCTCTCTCCTCACACCTACTATATTGTTTATTCATTCATCCAGTGTAGGGATCTGACAGTAAAGAAGATAGATCGGGTCCTTGCTCTCATAGATCTTGTATTTTAGTGGAAGAGAAAGGCATAAACAAGTAAACAAATAAAATAATTACAGACAGTGATAGCATCTGGCATTTAGTAGTTTCCCATGATGAGGGAGTTATTGGTGATTGGGAAGTGAGCATCTGTGCTAGGTGTAGAGGAAGATCCATGGTAAGGAAGTGCCTTGTGGACGGTGCATGCACACATCTTTCAGAAAGGGCATGCACATGTTTCTTATGTTTAGTTAGTCCCTGGTTTAACTGTCTCATGCTTGGATGCAACATATGGCTTTTACTTCGTTGTTTAGCCACCTAGGTTCAAAGAGACTGTCAACAGTAATGCTCTTCCTATGGCAAAAATAATAGCATCAAACCATTTTCACAGGTGCTATGTTTCTTTTTTCCTCCTTTCTACTTCCCAGGATGAAATGGGGCCTATAATCAAAGCAGCAGTACGTTTTCTCTATACCTGTAAAAGATTAGCTTTAGTCATCAGGGATGATGCAAGCAGGGAAAAAAAAGTGCAAGAAAACAGAGATGAAGCCAAAAAGGACAATTTCTGATTGTAATAGCTGGTTTCTGTTTCATATCACTGAGCAAGATGAGAAGGTTTTGCAGGGTTTTATAGGAAAGCTTACACAGTACTAAAGGATGACCTCACCCTCAATGCCCTTGCCAGGTGCTTAGACCCACTGTGAAAACATAGAGTTGATTTTCAACATGAAACAAGCCAGAAGTATGGAATGACATTTTCAGGTGACAGTTGTGGGTTCTACTGCCTATAATTAGCACCTCTTAACCCTCAAACTTGCCCATGCCTTTTTCAGGCTGTTGAAGCTCAAATTCGAAGTTTTGGACAGACACCTTCTCAACTACTCATAGAGCCCCATCCTCCCCGAGGCTCTGCTATGCAAATGGTAAGTGCTGCTTACATAACTCTTGTCGTTTCTTGCCTCTCTCTGAGACCATGCTCAACATTCATAACCGTCTTTTGTTGTACTTGAGATTCTCTACCACATCTGAGTTTGTTCTTTTTATGCGATGTTTGTCAACCTGCTAACAACCGCCAAATATTATTACATGCTGTTCTGGAGTCTTTGGAAAGGTAAACATAGCTCCAGTGCTCTAGGATCTCATCAGTTCATGTTTTGTGTTGCAGAATTAAAAGGTTTATAATTGTCACATATCCTCACTGCAGGATAATGGCTCCAGACATAGGATGGATGAGTTTTCTAATTCGATTCTATGAGTTTCTAGATTAGTTTTGCTATTGTGTTTGTTCTTTACATCCCAATACGATTTTCAGTTTGGAAATTTTAAAACTAATCCTAATGTGTAGGATATTGTTACTGAGGATAAGGGACCACAGTGAGAAGAAAAGATGGTTTGGTATACCATACCACCCAAAGCTTACTACAGTGATTTATATTGCTCGTGATTTTGAGGGTTAGACGGGCATTTCTTCTGCTCTTCTCACCTTGGCTCCCTCACACACTGCTGCGGGGTGGGCTGAGGTGGCCAGACCTCTATCCATGTGGTCTTTCATCATCAAGGAAGTTAGCTCAAGCTACTTTCACAGTAGGAACAGTGTCCAAGAGAACACTTCTGCAAGACTTTTTGAAGCTTGCTCTTGAACTCACATAACATCATTTACACCATATTTTATTGGTCAAAGCAAGTCAGAGGCTAGCCCAGAATCAGGAGTTGGAGATGGTAGAATTTTGACCAATAAGGCAAGGAGACAGGAGCAAAGAGAGCAAGATATATAGATGTGGCCCTTTCACCTCTAGCTCTTTCTTTTTTTCTTTCTTTTTCCATCTCGCCATCATCTTTGTGTCTTTTTCCCTTTCACCCTCTTTGTCATCTTCTTTCTCCTTCCAGACCTTTTTTCCCTTCTTGTTCTAGTTATATGAGTTGGCCATCACAATAAACTACAAGCATTTTTTAAATTATTTGCATCACGTTTTCCCCTAAGCATTTCTAAACAGGTAAGATCAGATTTAAATGAGCATAAAGGGTAACTTTACTGAGCAGAGATTACATAAAAAGCAAACATTTAACAAGAACACTGTAAGATAATGCCATAAAAAATAGTAAGAATGATTTCTGTTTGTGGTTTGGAAATAATTTTAGTAAGAGCTTGTCAGTGAGACTCAGGCTATTATGATGGAGGCTCATGGACACTCACCTCCACTGCTCCACTGACTTTTACCTGGTCAGCCTTGGTCACTGGGGCAAGGAGGGAGCTCCTACTGCCAAGCCTCTCTCCGTGGCAAAAGAATCCATTGAGGCAGTTCAGCTTTCTAGGATAGGAAGGCACATGCTCATATGAGGATGGGATACAGTCTTTTCCATTATCTTTATCCTCTGAATTGAATCCCCGAACTCCTTTCCAGACTTGCGCAAATTGTGTTTTCCTGTTACACATACGTGGGTGGGAAAGAAAGGTGTGTTGGAGAGAAAGCAGAGTTGTCAACAAGTGTACACTTACTCTGGGACAACTGAATGAAATTTGGTTAGCAGTTTCCCCCTTCTTACTTAGATGCAGCTCCCTGAGGCACCCAGGTTTAGAGGAATGTTTGCTTCTCTTATCCCTGCTTTACCCGTTGTCCTCCTCATCTACAGCTGTTGCCATCCCCGTAGACTAGCCCAGTGTGCTGCGTTGTGCTTTCTCTTATGTCTCTTATGTCTCCCTATTCCATACTTATCAGCCAAGGATATGGTGAAACTCCCAAGAGTTTCCCACTGCTTGCCTGCATTGGGAGCACTAGTCAAGATGGAGTATGTAGAAACAGGCTGGAGGGAGAGCTTGTTGTAAAAATGCGGTGGACAGTTCTGGATATGATGTCTACGGCTCTCCATGGAAGTGGCTTGTCCTTGCCATGTGGCTGAGAGTTGGCCCACTAGAGTCACTATGTAAACAAGACATTCTTCCTACACATTAGAGATTTTTCTGTGTTTTTTTTAAGGGCATAAACATTGGAATTATTCAGTTTCAGTCTAATCGTATTTACAATACGAGCTGTTAAGCTCAAAAATAAGTATCAACTTCCTTTCAGTGACACTTTATGATGTATGTTATACTCTTTCTCAGAGTTTATAGATGGACTTTAGTAAATATTATTTTTTAAACTACATAATTGAAAAATAAGGCTTGGTATTCTGAAACGATGTTCATTTCCTTTTCCCAGGACTTCTTCAAAACTAGCTTGTTAGGGTATTGTGTTTGTTGTCGCTCATTGTTTCTCATTTTTGCCCGATTCCACAGAGTTTCTTAAAAACTGTATAAAAGGTTCTTTGTGTAACAAAAATTACCAATTGATATAGAGGTTTTAAAAATCAAAAGGCCCAAATGTTTATTGTTTTTACTACCATTTAGATGAGTCCCCCCCATCAACCTTCAGTGCACCCCCCCACCCCCGCACGAATATAACAGAAATTAAAGCCACCTCGTGCTGCGTTAAGTGCGTGAGCCATAATATACACCAGGTGTAGTAATTAGCAGGCCCACGAAGGCTGCCTATTTGTCTGGCCTCACTGCTGTTGCTGTATCCCCCTGTGTTTTCACACCATCAGATAGTTGGATTTAATTGAGGCCACATCAGATGAGGCATTACTGACACCTTTAATTGAATGAGCATCCAGGGAGGATTAACTCATAATATTGATTGGCTTTTAGCCACTTGCTCAGAAGGGTGTCTGGGTAGCTTATTAGTTGCCTTTATTTACACGTTTATGCGAAGAGTGCAAATAGGAATTCTTAGTGCAATATGTTTTTCTAAGTACTCTTAATAACTTTTTTAAAAGGACTGATAATAAAAATGCAAATGTATTTAATTTTTTATTAGCAGTTCTGAATAAATACGTGTTAAATATATGTGCCTACACATTTACATATACCTGGTGTTTTGAAATATGGCAGTAGGAAAGCAGCCAGAAGCACTTCATCAAAGTGTTTCAATTGTGGATGATACTAATCAGCTATTAGAAAATAGACATGGTAGAAGAGGACTGCTGGAAAGGCACAGTGCAATTACTGTGTGATAGCATACTACCACAACATATAAATAAAGCCGGTAAATCACAGTGGTGTTATATATGTCTTGGATTATGACATATGAGTTGTAGGAATGTTCTAAATCCTTAGTAGTCTTCCAGATTTATTTTGTTGCTAGTTATTAGAACAGACAGTGTTTTTTGTTTAACATTTTCAATTACTTGCTGCTTTTCAAAGGAGAAATCAGAAGTCTTGGGCTTTAGTTTAGTTTAGTTTAGTTTGTTTGTTTGTTTGTTTTACCCAGAGAGGAGGGGCATCTAGGTATTTCTTTTTATGCTTAGGCATAGCAGAAAAGAGCAGGATTTGCATTATAATAGGGCAGTGTTTATGACTTGGTACACTATATAAATATATTGTTTTTACAAGTACATTTAATTAACGCATTGCTTTGAAACACCTTTATAATTAAGTTTGTATATTACGTTCGTAAGTTATTTCTCGATTGTAATAATACATGCTGTATAACTATTGTTTATAAATATGTTTGTTTTAAATATCTCTTTATTTAGTTGTCAAAATCTTTGTGCTAACTCAACACAACTTTTGATGATCTTTGGAAGTTACCTTGCCTTGCTTTTGTACCTATTCCCTATCCTCACTTTTTTTTTTTTTTTTGTACTTGACACATACTAGCAATTGGAATGGTTTAAGGCAATCCCCAATACTTTGCCTATTTAGAATCTAAATCAAATCATTTCTTTAGTCCTTCATGGGGGTGGGGTGGGGAAAAGAGCCAATAAAATCTATGGATTTTTAAAATGTTTCTGTTAATGTTATTCTACTTCAGTCACCAAAACATTCAGCTAATGACATAGGTGAAAAACAAGCCAATCCTAATTGCTGTTTTCTATAAACCTTTCTGCTCACCACACTCTCAGTTGCAACTTGTGTTAACATAGTCTTTCCTCTTCTTTTCCTGCACCCTCTCTCTTTCTTGTCTTTCTTTGTCTTTTCCTTCTTGTGTATTTGGGTCTTGTCATGCCCACTCGACAGCATCTCCTCCTGCAGAGTCCATTGATGTTCACAGACCAAGCCCAGCAGGATGTTATCATGGTCCTAAAGTTTCCCTCCAACTCCCCTGTCACTCACGTGGCAGCTAACACGCAGCCTGGCCTGGCGACTCCTGCAGTAATCACAGTCACTGCTAACAGGCTGTTCGCGGTGAACAAGTGGCACAGCCTTCCTGGTAAGTGAAGAAATATCATTATGATGCATGGTACCTGCTGAATACTGAGGGGAAATATCTACTTCAGTATATTGTATCTCAGCATTGAAACTTTTCAATTTTCAAGCATTAGTCTGAGTCAAATATTTAATAGTCTGAAAGGCTTAAAGAAGTTCCCTCTGAGGCATAGAATACAAATGTTAAAACATAAACTGTTCTTTGGCATCCGGTGGTTTGTCTTTATTTCTTGTAGATAAATATTATTTCTCTATTTTAATATAATATTCTATATTGTGTCCATAAATAGTATATATTTATCAGATGGTCTCATTTTTTCCACTTACTCATGTACTCAACACTTTTGATTGTCTACTTAGTGTGCCTTTTTGTGCATGACATCATAGTATTTGTCATGGATGACAGAAAAAAAGAACACTTAAATTACAGAGCCAGAATATTACAAACCCATAAGTGCATTCTGTTTTCCCATTAAGTGTTGAATAGTTAGGGTAACTAAGGCACGATACTGAAATAACCATTAGAATCATAAACCAAAGTTTGAGGAGACCAGAGAGTTCATCTAATCCAGCCCCACGTTTTACCAGGGAAGATACTGAGCCCCGGGGAGCTTGCCTTTTTCAGGATCACATATGGGCCAGTCAGTGGCAGAGCCAGGTTTGAACCCAAGTTTTCTGACTCACATTTTATGATCACCCCTCTATGATTTATTGCCTCTCATTAGAACGGAATGTTGGGATCTGGATCTAGCACTGTTCTTTTTGGCCACTAGTTAGAAATTCTGTTTTTAAGAAGGAAAATCTTTTAAAGTCCTGAGGATTATAGGCTTTTTTCCAAGCCATTGTTTTAGGTAGGAAATTTTAAGAGATAGATTTTAATAGTCTGATAACTTGTCATTAAATCTGTAAAGTGTACATAAAGTACTGCTCATTATAATACCTGAACTGGTTGCAGAAAATATACATTCTTGAACAGGGCCTCGTGCCAATTTAAATGCAAAAGCTCTTAGAATGGAACAGAATTGAATTAACATTCAAGCAAAAACTTGGTGCACTGACTTTGCTCAGTAAGGTAGCCATCATGAAGAATCCGTGGTTGGTATCAGAATTTATTAAATATGGCCATTTTCCTGGCTATTAGAAAGGAAATGAATGCTAGTATTTGATTAGAGAACAGATTTCAGAAAAAGTAGAGAAGGTAGAAATCGAGGCAGGTATATCCTATTTTTTTAAAGATTTTATTTATTTATTTGAGAGAGAGAGAATGAGAGACAGAGAGCATGAGAGGGAGGAGGGTCAGAGGGAGAAGCAGACTCCCTGCTGAGCAGGGAGCCCGATGCGGGACTCAATCCCAGGACTCCAGGATCATGACCTGAGCCGAAGGCAGTCGCTTAACCAACTGAGCCACCCAGGCGCCCTCCACTAGAGGATTTACCTAGTCGGTGTGCATTTACTCCTAGAGCTCCGCGAAAGCACCAGTGTGTGCAGCATCAGGGCCAGCACAGTGATGCCTGTCCTCGGGGGCTGTTCGGGGCAGCTCTGAGAACTTCTTCAGTTTAAACCGAGTGACAACGTGTATAAGGGGAAACAAACCTTTTCAGTTGCTGGAAAGCCCTGGCTACTCTCTGCCACTGTCTTTCGTTGAGCGTAGCAAAGAGCAAGCTCAGCAGCAACTGAGCGGGCTCCACCCAAGGGCTACTCACTAGGTCTCCAGCTGATACTCCAGAAGTACTGATGACAGCTCCTGGCACTCGCATCGTGAGCAAGCCCATTTCCCTGAGTGGAAAGCCTGCTTGCCTCAGTGCTTGGTCGTCAGGTGTTCTTTTCCCTACTTCCAGTTTTTCTATAGATATGTAAAGTGCTTTAGGAGCAGCATCCCTCCGCTGAAGTACCACCTAAGGTACACCCAGCTGTTCCCAGCCCAAGCTCCCCATTCTGTGAGATAAAAGCTTGGAGGACTGCATATGTTTTGCCAGTTCTTTGCCTGTTATTCTCCCCAGTGAGCCTTCTTTGTGTCTGTACTACTGAGGATGAAACCTCCACGCGAATGTCTAAGATTTGTCATTGCTGATCTGTCAGTGGGGAATGTCGAGGCTGCTTTTAGGCAAGTAGGCTTGAGTGATAGAATACCGACAGGCCCCCCAGGCGCCCGACCTCAAAATACCCATAGGCCCTAACTAACCAGTGGGCTACTTACAATGAGGCACAGTTCCCAAAGAAGGGAAGATTCCCTACATCGCATACCTCCTCACCTTCTCCCTTTAAAAGCAGCGCCCAGCCACTACCTCCTGGCAGACTGTCTCTCCTCTGCTGCCCTGCCCACCACTCCCCTGCAGTGTATTCAGTAAACTTCTCCTTTGTTCTGCCTCAGGTGAATTCTTTCACCTCCCATGCCTTTGGCTTTCACCCCACATTTGGGGGCCCCCTACAATAGAGAGACACCGATTTAGACACATGTACCTTGTGTTTTGTTCCTGCCCTCTGGCTTTACAGTATGACACAGCAGCTCCTCACCAGATAAATACATATGGGAATACACAAGTAGTTATCCTTCTACAATGTGATCTCCAATTCTGAGCTTATACCTACAGCTAAAAATATTAAGCGTCCATTTTATTAAATCTGTGTCTCATTTCAAGTATGTTTATATAAATCTGATCTTTCATCCTATCTTGTTCTACCTTTCCCTTGCCTTGATATGCCTTGATTTAAAACAAATGTCAGGAAAAAAATGTCAGAAATCCCTAACAGTTTTTCTGCAATGAATATCAAATTCATGTTCTACTACTTTTTTTAAAATTTAGATTCTGGTCCTGATACCTGTGATTTTCTGAGAAACTGTGATTTCCATAGTTTGTTCATTAGACAGCTAGCTCCTGTCATTTCTTTCAGCAGTGTCTGAGTCCTGATTTAAAAAAAAAAAAAAAAGTCATCTTTATTTTTCCTTCTCCTTCACAGAACCTTACAGGACCTGCGAACAAAATAAAAGAATAGCAGCTAACGTTTATAGAGCATTCTCTAGGTTCTAGATACTGTTTTAATCATTTTACATGTATTAACTCACTGAATCCCCTCAACAGTCTTAGGATGTAGGTTCTATATTTAGGTTGAACCATATGAAATCGCCTCTTTATAGGTCAAGATGTCAGGGGTTGTTAATTTCATATTGTTCAGTCTAACCCATTTTCCTGATCAGGAAACTGAACCACAGAGGCTACATAACTTGCCCAAGGTCACAAGGGGTTCAGTGGCAGCACTGGAATTTGAGGCATGACCAAAGATAGTTACCCTCCTAAGTTTCACCGGCACTGTGTCTTTCGTGTCTCTATGACCCCAGATTCCAAGAGAAGTAGAGAATAATTATCAAGGTATTGATGTTAATCAGCACTGGTATTACTGGAAGTAAATGGCACTGTGGGGTAAATCAGAGGCTATGGTGCATTCTCCCTGAACATTCCCTGTATATGTCTTGTGATTTCTTTGCTGGCAGAGCCAGTGATCAGGAGACAGTGCCTTCGGTAAAAAAGACTGAGTTATACAGCTTCCTTTCTTCAGCTACTTTAATTTCTTATACATACTCAACTATAATTTTTAGTGCTAATATTGTACTTACTCAGGTGTTTTATCAGTATTAATGATCTTTGAAACCACCTTGAAAAGTCGGTATTTGCTAACAGGGGAAATGATGACATAATAAGTTTTAGAAATAATCTAATGAAGTCATTGGAACGTACCCCATTTTTCTTTGCAGCCCCTCAAGGACAGTCAGAAAAATTCCCTAAAATATGACGGTATTAAGCAGAGTTCTGATACCAACTAAGCAGTAGTTTATAAATGCTGATGAGTCTATAAAAGGCAGATACTGACCAGAGTGATGGCTGAGTCATTCGGGGAAAATAATTTGGAAAAGGGCCCAGAATTTAACTCCCAGAATTACAAAGCTGAAAAGCTCATCTGCTCCAAAGCCTTCATTTTCGGGTTTATGCTTGCCTAAGTCTGCGTAAGTAGCCGGCAGTGGTTCCTGCTCCCTAGCGCTCTTCCTCTTTAAATCCTTCTACGTTTCACAGGGAAACAGCCCTCAAGAATCTCCTTTCAATAACAAAATAAGTGTGCAAGAATCTTTAGAACCATTTTGAGACTTGAACAAACTATTCTTAGTATGGATTGATTTTTGTTTTTCATTTGCTTCTCGGAGTATTTTTAAATTGAAACCATGGAAATATTAAATATTAATAAAACTTTTCTTAAAAACCTCAATCCAATCTTGAGGAAAATATTTCAGCCAAATGCATTTAACTAAAACATTTATCTGCGGATAGCTTTCTTTATTTTTATTCAAACTTTCAACTGATTGGTTTTAAGTGATGGATGAAACATTAAATGTTCCCTGACGTAGAGCTTTCCCTTTCGCCATCATCAATTGACGTTTTTGTGGATCCTTTGTGCTGTAGCACTCAAAACTGCCTTTTTAAGAAGTAACAAAAAAACAGTATTTGCTACAGTCAGCAGATGGTTGTCACATTTTGTTTTCAGCGCGCTTTACCACTTAATTTTGTTTTGTTGCAGCATCAGAGGTTGCCAGTCAAGCATCTGCTATAGCTTATGGCCCAGGACCGGAGCCACCGCTGATGGCACGTGTTCAGAAGAGCACTAATCGAAACTAAATGTTTCATAAGCTAGCCATAAAAGCACCTGGGTTTTTTTTTTCTTTAAATTTCACAAAAGTGTTTGAGAGATTTGGAGGTTGGAAACAATTCTACGTAAGACTTGACTTAAGCATTTTTATGTAGCTTCGTATATGAACAATAATGCTTTTTTTTTAATCTTTTGTGAATTCCAGCTCATCAAGGTGCAGTACAAGACCAGCCATACCAGCTGCCAGTGGAAATCGATCCTCTCATAGGTCTGTCACTTCTTTCTCTCTTTGCGATTCATTAAGCTCTGTATGGTGGCCCTGAAGTGTAGATTACAGTTGTTTTTCACTTGCTGGTTGCTGGGAGTGGAATTTTCCTGATAAACCATTTGCATGCAAATTGGAATGCAATGAGCTGTGGCTATGCTGGTATTTCATCAACTCCCCCTCGTTGGTTTGCCTAATTTGAACAGGCCTAGGACGCGTGTCACTGAAAATTAATATGGATGCTGTAATAATGTGTGATTGAGAATGCGCATGAAGTACTGTCAGGATAATATTGGATCTTTTCATCACTCAGACTTGTTGATGAGCAGGAGCGAGGCACGTTATGATGAATTGGTGCACCGGTAATGTGATGGAGCTCCTTTGCTAGGGAAATTTTCATAATAACAGTGGGGTTCTTAGCAGCACTGTGTTGTGAAAAATAAAACTGTAGTGCCAGGGTTTCATCATTAAAGGAGATCAATCCTTTCTTCCTGGACCCTCTGTTCAGTCTGAGGGGATTAATGTGCAATTGCAGAGCAGTTTCGAAGTTGAAAGATATTGCCCAGCCAATGGCAGTGTTAAGATATTTGTATTCATTTTCCTATGGTCCTACAGCCCAATAAATTGCCATTGGAGGTTAAATTTGTTCCAGGGGGGAAAAGGGAAAAGGGAGGAGACCAGGAAGAACCTTTGGGATGAAATGAGCATCCGTAGCAGATGACTTCAAATACTTAATTGCTTCTGTGCTTTTTCAGTTGGTTAAGCTGAAATCTCTAGTTTAGCATTTTTCATTCTTATGGGTGGGGATTTCGGATGTGGCTTCAATGAGAATGTTACTGATATGAACATATTAACATTTCTTGTTTTTAAAGATGCTATTCAGTAACTTTTAGAATAAAAAACTTAATTGCCTAGTTGTAGGGGTATGCTACCAATGTGGATGCTTAGCTTGTGATTTTGTTAAATTTCCCTGGCACATAAATTTGTTAAAATTTTTAAGTTTTTAAATAAAGCAGATGAAGGAGCTGACTTATTATTTTAAAATCCAAGGGGTTCCCTATGTGTAGGTCACCTTTTTTGTCTTTAAAACCCTTGTTGTTTCAGTAGAGAGCTAAGTGACTACCATTTGCAAATGAACTGAAATAACGTTAAGCTCAAAACTGATTCATTTATCAGTCCCCCACATATAAGCAGAAATCTAAGAAGGAATTAACCACCGCAAGCGTAAATACTACTGATTCCTAAATCATCTTTTGATTTGAGTACATATGATTTGCCATATATTTAAAAATAAAATGTTCACTTGGGTAAAGTTTTAAAAGTCAGGAAAATAAAGTCTATTTGATAAGTCCTTTAAAAGCATCATTTATGAAGTATAAATCATGTTTGCCTTAAAACTTGACAATGAATATCCTACAGTCAAGTCTAATTAAATGATTTCAGCAACTGTCACCCTTCAGACCAGGCATGGGTAAACTTTTTTGGTAAAGGGCCAGATAGTAAATATTTTAGGCTTCATAGACCATAAGGTCCCAGACACAACTATTTAATTCTGTTATAGGACAAAAGCAGCCATAGACAATATATAAACAAATGAGTATTGCTGTGTTCCAATAAAACTTTATGTACAAAACCAGACCCAGGCCATAGTTTTCTTCCCTACTCTACATTATTGGTCACCAGACTGTTCTCTCTGTATCCCCTAAAATATTGTTTAAAACCATATACCTTCTCACGTATTTTTAATGGAGCATCTGAAAGTTTTCATCACAAGTTTATATAGTTGCGAAGGCTATAATTTCTTGCATAGTGTATAAAATTTTAAATATGTCGAATGGAATGTAAATATCAAAGTGAATTGATAGTCACCATTTTTCTGTTTTTAAAAAAATGCACAAAAAAGCTCTTAACAGTTGAAAATTTTGTATCATTCCTTTTTCATCTTAAATTTATATTTTTATTCTACTTCCCCTACACAATTTTTTTTTAACTTTTCAAAATTGATTATCCTATTTTACTTTTCAGCAATAAAAATACATGGAAAATTAAATATATGTATGTAAATTTAAATGTTAAAATTTCCTATGCCCATGTGACTTAGTTTTTCTAAAAACTAATCCACACTGAGTTATCATTACAAATATTATTTCTACACACTTATTAAAATTATAAATTTTAGTAGAGATTATTAAACATAAAAACAAGCATTTATTGGAAATATCTTTAATGAAATGGATAGGGATTCCACCGCGCCCCCCTTTGCTCAAGTATTTATGAATGAACATTATTTGTTGCTGAATGAGACAGGATTCATCAACGGTTCTATCCTATCTTTTTTTTTTTTTTAGCTGGTGGAAGCTCTGGGGAAAGTTACTCACATAAGAAAATAGATGGGAAAGGAAAGAATTTTGTTTTAACAGTGTCATTCAAATCTTTGAACTCTTTCCAAATTATGTGACAAAATTTATATAGTAATCTATTATTAAGAATTATTTTCATGGTCTGTCATTAAATGATCATTTTAACAATCTATCATTGAAATTTATTTTTCATGATCTATCAGTTGACATCATGATTAGCTCCTCCTTCCATTTTATTGAAAGCAATGAATTGGAAACCACCTGCCCTGCAGAATGATTTGATACCTTGGCATTCACTTTTCAGCTTCACATCAGTATTTTGAATTGTCCCCTTATTTGCATCTCAAGAGATTTGTATACCCGGAAATAAAGCACCATAGTAAAATTCTGGATAGGAAAGAAACATGCCTTTATTTTATTTAGTGGAAGAAGAGCATGCAAAAAGGGATGTAAGAAAGGAAAACTCATAGGAGAGTTCTCAGGCAAATCTGTTTCAGAGAAGAGAACATACAAAAGTTGAGGAACTAGAAATTGATTCCCTTAAAACCATCTGTGCCTGTTTATCTCTTGGGAAATCTTATACCATCCTCCTGCCAGGGGTATGCATGCCCCAGTTTGAAGACTGCTTATTTAGACAAATATACCTAATTTTCATTAAATAAAAATACCTTCAGTACTGAATCTCAGGAGACAAGATAAAAGAAAGGCAGTTGTGAGGAAAATAGGTTATATAATTGGATGGATGGATGGATGGATGGCAGGGGGAGTTGCAATATTAAATTACAGGTAAGCATTTACTTAGAAAATAGTTCATTTGAATGCTGAAAGGGCATCAGTCTTTACCCATTGGAGGCGGTACATTGTGATCACTCAATTCAAAATTATGCACATGCCCAGATCTGTGAAACGAGGTCCTCCTAAGAGACCATGCCCCCTCCTAAAAAGGAAAAGGCCAAAGACCAGTGAAGGTTTATATCATAGAAGCAAAAGTCATATAAATAGTAACAAAAATAAACATTTTTACAGTTTTCATGTGGAATGAAGTACTGTAGTAACCAGTATAGAAAGTACTGCATACCTTGTCTTTATTTGCTAGATTTCTTGGAATAAAAGATCTAAGTTGTAACACACAGCTTCACTACGGTAGGATACTAATGTCTCTCTGTGATTCACTATGATCCCCATAAAAGCTTTTTTCCTTTGCCAGCAGCTTCCCTTTGTGTGGGAAGTAGATGGCAGGGGAGTGATCCCCAAATAGAATTCTACCCTTTTTACTACTGCTATCACTTTCTAGTTCATTAATCCCCCCAAAGTATATGAAGCCTATTATCAAATAGTTCTCTAATGATCTTACATGGTTAAGTTGTACAGACAGACGCTAGCAGAATCTTGCAGTGTGTCTATGCATACGTTTGCCATGAAGGCAGGGAAGTTCATTTCTCTGTGTCCCCAGTGGTTTCCAGTACAGCACTGGAAAGTATTTTGAAAACTTTTTTTCTTCTGCATTACTTTCTGCACCTTCTCTCAGGTTGGTCACATTAACTTAGTTATTATGTACAATGAATATTTTTCTATTTTTTATTTTTATCAATAATGCATTTATAGGTTGAGGTTTTTTCCAAAAAAACAAAACAAAACCCTGAAGACTATGATACAAAGAATGTAATGATCAGATTCAGAAATTTATTTTGTTTGTTTTGATTTCTGGTACAATCAAGTCCCTTTGTTATTATAAGAACCATTATTTGTATTGGAAGGCTGGTGGTGAAATAACCCTAGGTCACTAGAAAGAAAGCTTTCTCTTTGGTTGGCCTCATGGTTCCAAAAAAGGCCTCTCAGTGAAAATTCCTTTTCTGATAATGACATACTTGATAGTCTATTTCTAAAGGATTATTACTCTTCCTATGTGCTTGATGTTGCTCTGTGTCTGACTTGTGCCTTGTGACAAACCCCATATCAGGTGCTCTGTAGCGCTTTGAAAACACACTGCCAGACTGTCTTGTTTTATTGCTTACATAAGGACTGAGAAAGTGGCAGTGTGCTGTGCTTTGACTTTTTCAATTACGAGTATCTTTAATAGTCATTCTACCCTTTCCCTACATGCAAGTGCAGCTGTAAACAGGGGAAATGGGAGTTCACCTCCAGTCAAATTAAAGACCTGTTAAAGCCAAAGTACTCCAAGATGCTACAGTATTTCAAATATATGACATTTAAATTCCAATATCTCTTTCCTGTGACAAAAAGTTAAAGGTAATAGATTGTCACAACATGAATCCATTCTCATGACAATGGGTGTAATGAGATTGTCAGAAACACAAACCTAACTGTGGTACAGTCTGGAGACTGTAATCTAGTTTGGTCCTGCCCAAGAGCTAGAAAGCATGTTCTGAGAATTGTATACTATTTTGAAATTGTAGTATGTTATTATTTTTCCCTCGAGGCAAAATTTCTTACTGAGATGTTGAATTTAGCTACCCACATTTTTCCAATAGCCAGATATATTTTCCTGTTTGGTTTTTCAAATATTATTATGTTTAAAATTTAAAATTAGAGATCAAATATTCTTATCCTGGAATGTGTTGCCTCTCCTCCCTCACTCCCCACCCCCAGTGTTACAAATTACAGGATTTTTGTACATGTGTTGTGGGTTTAGTAGGATTTTTGTTCTTCCTCTGTTCTCACAGCCAGCAATACAGGAATGCACAGGAGGCAAATCACTGACCTTTTAGACCAGAGTATTCAAGTCCATTCCCAGTGCTTTGTCATCACTTCGGACAACCGCTACGTTCTCATCTGTGGCTTCTGGGATAAGAGTTTCCGAGTCTACTCTACTGATACAGGTAACTTACTTTCTTCATCAGTGAACTGAAGTTAACCACAAGTAGCGTTGAGAGGCTTAGAATGCTCTCATCTTCCTTTCAGTAATTACAAAGTTGTAAAATGTATGACATAGAGACACGGTTTTTCCCTTTTAAGTAAAAATCTGTTATATAGTTCACTATTAAGTTAATTTCAGCATATTTTTTTTAAAGATTTTATTTATTTATCTGAGACAGAGAGAATGAGAGAGACAGAGAGCACATGAGAGGGGGGAGGGTCAGAAGGAGAAGCAGGCTCCCCGCCGAGCAGGGAGCCCGATGCGGGACTCGATCCAGGGACTCTAGGATCATGACCTGAGCCGAAGGCAGTCGCTTAACCAACTGAGCCACCCAGGCACCCCGTTTTCAGCATATTTTTAAGAGGCAGTTTTTTATAGTAGGTGTATCTCCCAAGCCTCATGCTTACGGAATGAATGATTCATTTGAAATCACATCCAGGTTTGTAAATACCATATGTACATGTATATGCATAATCATATAGCAGATGCACATACAGGTGTATTTTCCCCCATTTTCTTTTTCCTTACTGGAAATTCTCATTAAATGTATTTCTTATTAGTAGATACCTTGGCTCCACTCAGTTCTGCATAGAATCTTGCTGAAAGCTACACCATCATGAAGGAAAGTAGCTGACTACTGATTTTATATGTGACAGGAGCTCTTGTTACAATATAAAATTTTAAGTCCATATATTCATTTGCATGCATCTCCCTAAGGGACAAACCAAGCTCAACTCACTATTATTATGGAAGATCCAATCTATTAAAATGTTTATAAATTTTTGTATATAGGACGTTGAGAAAAACTGAAAAGTTTAATGAAGTCTCTCTAAAGTATTTTAGAAACTGTTAGAGGAGGAAATCAACTTATGGTAAATATGTAGTTGAATATTTGAAAGAATTAAAATTAGATATTAATGTATCAGAACTTGATAATACTGTGGAAGTAGATTATTTCAACTAAGACAAGGATCTACAAATATCTTGCTTAAATGTGGTAGGAATAGGAAATTCTTTTTAATTGAAATTTCTAGTTAATTTAATGTTTTATAGTAAATCATTTTTCAATCTTGTTAATAATCTTTATAGAATGTATGAGTCCTTGTTTCTGCCTTACTAAGTATAATATATTGAAAAATTAACTGTTGGTTATTCAAGGACTTTGTCCTTATGCATTTTGATCATAGTACCATAATACAGCCATGAGAAAGTAGGGAAAAATAGTCAAATATGTACTGTTCATATAGAACCCTAGAAGTTGTTTTTGCCATGATCTTGTTGGTTTGTCATGTTTTTTTTTTCTTTTATGGAACCAATGATCTAGTTTTATAATTTGCATCCTACCTTCTGTAGGTCCAGAAAGAAAATATCATTATTCAAGTCTTTCTCATTAGTTAGGTGCTTACTGCATGTTTAGGGTCTATGAGGTTGATTGCTACTAAGCCTAAAACTCCTCTAGAATTCTTAAAAAATGCCATGGGGGTTGATGTGCTCCTAAAATTATTTATTATTAGAATGGATTTTCTCTGATTTAATAATTAAATTTAAAATTTAACCTCTTCTTTCACTATTATGGTAATGATAGCTTAGAATCATTTGACCTTAAATTGTGCTCCCTTTTTGCAAAAATGTTCAGATTAAAATTGCTATGTTCTTTCACAAAATTTTCTTAAACATTCTTTTAGAGGGCTTATTGTTTTTTACACATTTAAAAAATTTTCTTATAATTTACATATGATAAAATTAATTCTTTTTGGGTTAAAGTTCTATAAGTTTGGGCAATGTGCAGAATTACATAACCACCACAATAAAGATGCAGAGCAGTTCTGTCATCCCCCAAATTCCCTGTGCTGCCTCTTTATAGTCCCCTTTTTCCCCCATCTCAGCCTTGCCCTACAGAACCGTTCTTCATCTCTGTAATTTTGCATCTTCCAGAATGTTACGTAAGTGGAATCATACATTATGTCAATCTTTAGTTTTGACATCTGAGGATTTTTGAGCTTGCTGACATTCCACGTCATTTTTAAAAAGCACTGAATATTAATATTTGTAGAGCTAACCTCACTGTTATGTAATACTAATAATTAAAATAACGCATTCACACACAGTTCTTTAGAATTTACAAAGTTCTTTAATATACATGATACTGTTTCAGCCCCACAGCTGTCCTGTGAGATAGACAGAACAGGTATCTTTATCCCCATTTTTCAGATGATGAAACTGAGGTTTAAGTAACTTGTTGAAATTCGTATAGATAATGGTGATTGAACTGTGCCTTGGAGCCAGCTCTTCTGACTTCAAATGTAGCATTCTTTGTGATTCTATCATATTATCTTATATAGATAGGTACACCTGTCAATATTGGTTAATTTGGGAAAATGCTATAATTTACAACACTAAGTTCCTAGTATGTCTTCCATGTTATGTTAGACTTGATAAGCTAGATAACATTCCTTCCCCTCTTTCCAAAAACCTTCCACTTTACTGTTTTTTAAAATATGTGAGTGTGTGTGTATGTAAAACATTTTTATAAGTGGTAGCCTTATTTTAAACTTCATTTCAGTGGGACTTAGCTTGTACAATATTTATACTTGCCAGAAAAGTTATGAAAAAATCCTGAAATGATAGTCCTAGTATCTTAATATATACAAACAATGATGCTAGTTTTATTTAAAATAATTTCAGTTAGGGTAAATATGTGTTTGTGTTTTTTGACAATAGGGATATTAAATATTTTCTCCTTTCAATTTGTCAGAGAAGCAAGGGGAAAATTGTATGATCAATAATATATAATAGCAAAGCTATCAGAAGTGTTGAATTCAATTATATTTTAGCACATAAGCCAAAACAAAAAAACAAAAAAAACCCTTCTCTTACTAGATTCAGGGCGGGGTGGAGTGGGGGAGAGAAACATGGTTGTAACAGAAAATTCTTTAAACATAAATCATGTTTTCGGGACACCACCAGAACAGCAGAGGCAACAATAAAACCTTCCCTCGGCAGTGGGAATTATTTTCAGGCCACATTTTAGATTCAGTGGTGTAGAGTCCTGAGCTTGAATTTTTTTTATTTGTAGCACAGCTGTCAAATAAAACATTAACTAGAAAATTTGTTCTGTCAAAAAAGGGATATTCTAGTGCTTGTGGTAATATTTGATATTAGTGTGTGGAGAGGTAGACTGGTATTAAAGGAAACAAAAAATAAAGGTTGAGGAACACTTATGAGATTATCAGAAAATAATTTACCAAAAAGAGCAGCAGGTATTTCTATGCTGTGATTTATTTAGGAGGAGTGAACTTCAACCTCACAGCAATAACAAATACTGTGGAGGAAGGCTGCCAGAACAGGAAAAAGTGAACTTGAAAAAATAATGCTTTCCAGAGTTGAGTCCAAAGTATAAATTGTAGAAAATAGTTAATTTGTATTAAAATATGAAACACTTTAGATGTAAATATGTAAATGTCACTCCCTCATTTTGGTCTTCCTTGACACCTAATCTAAATTCATTCTACATTATTCTCACTGATCCTACCTTGTTTTTTCCTTTTATAATATTTACCACTATTCATAATTACATATGTTTGTATTTGTTTAATGTCTGTCTGCCCCACTAAACACTAAATACCCTGAGGGCAGGGATCATGTCTATTTACCACCAATGTACATATAAGAGGGCCTAATGCTTGGCACTTAGTAGGTGTGCAATAAATGTTTGTTGAATAGAAAATAATTGTGATAACTTTGGGGGCAAAAATTAAAACTAGGAAATTTTAATGAAAAAAGAAATCACAGTGACTGAGTATACATTTTTCTAACACTGATATTGTAGATACAGGGCGATGGCTTAACCGAGAAATAACAAACGAATCTTGGAAAATTCTGCCACTATAGTTAATTCATCCCACTTTTACAGCTAAATCTTTCCACTTTGTCCTCACGTGAGTTGGAAATTAGGTAAGTTACCAAGTGAACAGCTGCTCGTTTGCAAGCCTCCTGGAAGCACATGGGTTTCCTGTGCACCGTGTGCCTCATGTACCTACTTAATTTTAGTCACTCTCCTGCTTACTCCCACAACCCACTGAGGTGATAGGTATCAAGTCTTAAATAAGCCTACCCTCGATAACCCATTTAAATCATTCCTGGAGTTTACATGCTCTCCACACTTAGGTGTAGGCTGGGACAGAAATAACTGTACATACTCTGTTATCAAAAACATAATCAACAATATGGCGTGTTGAGTTATTCTCAGTAGTTAAAATTCACTGATATAACCTTCAGTTTTCTGATTAGTAATAAGAGTGCATTCAGTTTCCTAACTTTGTCTTACCCCTTATAAGAAGGCCTTTACTCTAACCCCACCCATTTTACCACAAAACCTCTCCACTTTGTTCTTCAGATAAATTGGAAATGATATGGAAATAAATGATTATATCTTTTCATATTTAATTTGCTTTTTCTTTTCCATATTTTTCATTTTAAGAAGTCTTGAATTCTTCTTACCATATTCTTTATTGACACAGCTCATTTTTAAATGAAATGTTTTGATATCAATTTAAAGGTTGGAGAAATTCAGAAGTACACACTTTTAACTTTTAGCAGTTAAAAAAAAACACCTGCTTTGATGAAAGTCTTTATTCACGGGAGAACAAATGCACTTTATTAATTGTGCAACTTGAGGCTGAAATGAATCTGAATTTAAAGTTACTAGTAGTAGGCCCTCCGCAAGAGTGAACACACTGTATTTGACTTTCTATCTGAGCTAAGTATATTTCAGCATTTTTAAAAAATTTGCAGCCTTTGTAATAAGCTTCAGACTTATTAAAATCAAGATTAAAAAAATTAACATAAGTACTTTTTTAGTTATATTTATGATTGTCTTGAAAAGTTAAATACACTTAGTTGCTAATACTTAACTGAGACCTTAAACTTTTGAATAGGTTATGATGTTTCCAAATTAAACACAAACTTTTTAGGCATATTAATCTTCTTTCAGCTTAGTGGTCTTCTTGAATATTTGAATTCTATTTATATGACCCCACTGAAACACTTCTTCAAAAATAAAAAGAAACTCATGCTGACTGTTAGAGGTAGACATACTATGACATTCATCTGCAGTTCTGTAGACATTTCAAAGGAAAAATGTTAGCTAGAAACCATAGGGATGTAGTGGAAGGGCTGCTATAGCTATTTCATTCTTTAGACAAGTTTGTATGAATTAATTATAAACACTATATCTGATTTTTAAACAAAGATTCTCAAAGTGGGGGCTTTACTTTTTTTTCCGGCACTGTTAGGTGAATAATTCATCCTGTGTCCGAAGCCCTCCCTAGATGTATAGTAAGTGTACTGGGTTCCTCCCCTTTGTCCCTGGTCGTTAATGTTCGATAAACTGCCGTTATCTTAACTTCATCATCACCCACCAAGGAATTTTCATCATTCAGACAAGCAAAACAAAGAAAGAATGACCCAGCTCTAATTGCAATCACAATATATTAGTCTTTTTACCAAAACTTAGTTCATGTAACTCGAATTTGAAAAGAACAGGAACTCTCCAAAGTGACTTATATCGTCTTTGTGTAGATCACTTTAAAAAAAAGAAATACATTAAACTTTACTAATTCAGAGACAAGTTTGTGTTAGCAAAGTCTGAACTATAGAGTACTTAAAGAAAGGCACCTAAGTTTTCTTTTGCTTTGAATCATACTGAGTAACTTAAGAAATTACTGAAATTGTTCCAAATACAAGTTCTTCTGAGCCCGCTTTATTCAGTAGACATGATTCATTTGGAATTTATAGTAGCCATGTATAATGATATGGTATCATGGTCCTCAAATATTGTTGAAATAGTTTTAAAATTATGTCTTTCAAAAGTGTTATCACTGTTCAATTGATTTTTTGTTGTTGTTGATATTCAAAGAAAACTTTTAGGTTATACCAGATCAAATTTGATTGTAAAATCTGAATCATCAGAATCCAAGTTAATATGACTTCATTATCTTATAAGTGAAATGGTCACTGGAATTTCTTTATTTTATAGCAGTTCTAAAGGAAATTGTTTTGTATTTCAGGAAAATTGATTCAAGTGGTATTTGGCCATTGGGATGTGGTCACTTGCCTCACTCGTTCTGAGTCCTATATTGGGGGAAATTGCTACATTCTCTCAGGGTCACGTGATGCAACCCTTCTGCTCTGGTACTGGAATGGAAAAAGCAGTGGGATTGGAGATAACCCAGGCAGTAAGTACAAACTTATTTTGTAAGTAAGCTGTTACAAGTGATGTATAATAACATTTTGCAGTGAAGTTGCATTTTTTTTATCATGGTGAAAGTGAAACTGAATTATCAAATCTTTTTCTTAGTTATAATTTAAGAAAGGTCTAGATAGCCTTTCAATTATTAACATTTTGTGAGCATTGATAATTCTCAAGTGCAAGTATGAAATCTCATTTTTCATGTTACAAGTTATTCTTATGATCTGAAAATGCTAGTTCTTCATTGGAAATGGCTGTCACCAAATAAAAGAGAGGCGTTTCATTCACGAACAAGATATAACATAAAAGAGCAATCACATATTATCTTGTTTATCGAATTCATATTTTAAGAGAGCAAAAGAACAATTATAATTTCGTGGAAATGAACCAGTCTTTATAAAGAATATGCTTTCATTTACATATTAAAAGATAAAACAGGTCATAAAAGGCCAATATGGAATATTCAAATTGGCTCTTGGTTTTTCAGATGGGAAATGAAAATGTTCACCAACAGCCTTAAACATCTTTATGAAACTATGCTGAAGGCAGTAAAACAAAAAATGTGTAACCATTTAAAACTGTAATTCACAGAAGGCAAAAAAAGGAAGCAGCTACCATTAAAACCAATCGCACACAGCTGCAGAAAAGAAATGGCTTTAGAAAAACACATTAAGAAGTAGGAAAAAACAATTAAAGGGACCACCTGAAAAATGAGAATTTAATTAAAATTATTATGACAACACTGAAGAGTTCCTGCAAGAATAGCTTTTAAGATTTTTACTTCATAAGGTAGAGCATTTTAACTGCTCTTAAATATTTACAGTTTCTTAATTTAAAGCAAGTTGCACTGTATTTGGTTAAGGAAGCACCATTTTGTCCCTGATTGCTTTACCTGAATATCGTGGTACTTAACTTCTGTCATTTAACTCCAAATTATGAAACAGTCTGAATACGCTTTAGTCCATCACATTTTGGATTGACTTCTTCAAGCTGTGCTTATTAAGTGTGTAATATTTGATTAAAAATGAAACCTTTTAAAAAATACTTAGCCAAAAACCAGTGTATAATTTTAAAAGAAGTATTTGGGACATATTTTATAAAAGCTCTTTATGCTTTTTTGTTTTGTGTAAATGGGTAAACATAATTTTTATTAAATCCTCTAATGTATATTTCTTATGTTACTCAAATCAGGGATGATTCCCTATACAAATAGAATATGAAAAATCACTTTAAGGGTGTGATGCTTTGGATAATACAGTCTTTGTGATCAGGTCAAACTCAGTGTATGTGTTTAAATGGGAGGGTAATGTGTCCGTTTGTGTATTCCACATATTTATACAGGCATCTGCATTTTATATGTAATTACAATAAAATTTTTAAACATGTAGACTTCAGGGATTTTGTTTTTCACTTTCGTTTGAAAAGTACTTCGTGTTCTTTACATTATGGACCCTTACATTCTGCTCTTTATTTCTGGCCTTTTAGGAGGGTCTACTTTCAATTTCTTTTTTTCCTCTGTCTATAAATTTAGTTACCAAGATTCAGTAAATCATCTAAGACAAACCTGGGCTTGACATAAATAATAAATATACAATTTGTTACTTAGCTAGAAATATTTAGGAAGTACTTTCTCTTGCCTTAAAATAATGTGTTTCATGCGCATACAGCATTCCAAACACAAGAAAAAGATTTTTTGTTTGGTTTTTGTTTTTACTTCCTTGACCTAATTGTGTTCTGTATGTTATACATGGTCATTACCAATGTGTACTCTGAGAAGTAGCTAAAGGCTTATTAGCTACACTTATATGTAATGGCCATTACTCAGAAATTAAAGTGTATTTTAGAACTAGAAATATTCAGCTTTTCCAGAAGGGAGAAATATATATTTAAATACCTTATAAATCATCCTAGAGATGGTTTTTACATGCATGTCTTCTAAAAAAATGAATCAAGTAGCATTGACCAAATCCTGGAGTTGGAAGTGAAGCAAATCTAAGTTCCGAGCTTTGCTGTGGTCCTTCTGTCTTGTCTGTAAAATGAAAGCAACAATAGTAACTGACTTAAGGTGTTATCAGAAGCACAGAATGCTTAGAGCAAATAAATCACCACATAAACACCATCCTTTTGGCATTAGAGTGTATATTATAATGTTATATTTTTCATAAGCACTTCATCTGTACCCTCTCATTGTCTGCAGTATGGTGGACATTAACTCCTAGGAATGCTGGTAATGAAAAGGAAAAAAAATAATAACATAACAGCACATCTAATAAAAATTTTAGAAAATTGTAATGTATCTTGACTAAATTAAATTACCTTTCTCAAAGTGAACCTCATCCTTTCTGGCCCTTTTATAGCGTCTGATGTCCCAATCTAATTTTGCTTTAGCTTTGAAGGATGAATCTGGGAGAAAGACAAATAGGCACTTTTTCATATAATGAGAATTTCCACACATTAGAATAGAAAAATGAACAAGTTGGTCCAAGCTTTTCAAAAGAAAATGACAAACAAAAACAAAGACATTTTTACCACGCGTGTGGACTGTGTTTTACACATTCATGCAAGCTGGTTTGGATTTTATAAGCCTCTGGCTTGTTGGTGGCTCCACGATCCAGCTGCTGAAGTCAGAGCTTTTCAGATGAGGAATTTTAGGTTATGCTTATTCCTATGTTGTATCGCCTGGATGCAATATAAATGACCTTTAAGAAACAGCCACTTTTTTTTTTTTTTTTACATATAATTTCAGTCTGGTCAATAAATGCACACAATGCCTCAACTTAAATTTTTGAATACAGACTTTTTTTCTTTCTTGAAGGGAAAACTAAAGAAAACTAAGCTATTACTTTTTCTGCATTTTATAGGTCTCATTCAAGCGTTTAGTTTGTGGGTTTTGTTTTGTTTTGTTTTCAAAAATTATGAGAATAAGCTAGTAATTTTCCTTCCTAGGGTCATACGCCTGCGCCGTTTTCTACAAATCTGATGTTAGTGCTATATGGAAAGTTCACAGCTTTATTCCTATTTTTTAAAAATCATGTTATCCAGTACTAAAATACACATTGCTTGGGCAAAATCCGGCTAATTCAGCTGGATAAAACCTATATTTAGTATAACTTGGGCTTTTAAAAGAATATACATGTTTTATAAACTCTGCTTAGATCATGTGGCAAAAGCCTTGTTTTCCTGTATAACAGATAGTTTTTCATCTTTGACTCGTTTTGTGATGATTATCTCCTGTGGAATGCAGTTTTCTTACTGAGAAGAAAAATTAAGATACAATTCCATTTAGTTGTAGATTTTTAAATAAAATTAACCAAGAACATTTTAATGAAAGGTATTTTCTACATGGATGCATATCTCCCGTTGCCCTAGTACTCTTTGTGTTTTAGAACTGAATTTGTGTACCAAAATGCTTTTCCTGAAACACTCGTTTTTCCATCAGAATAATGCTATACAGACTGTATATTTGCAAATTTTGGAGAAAATATCCCCCAGTGCCTTCAGTTGACATTTAAATACTTTAACCTTTGAAATGATTTTATAAGCAAGATGAAAATTTACAAAATAGTTATTATCTACGATTTTCATATTGTATTACTAGTTCATAAACATAAAATTAAATGCTTATTAAGCATTTAAAAGTAAATGCTTATTAAGTATTTTCAGGCTTCTGAGTAATTTTTTAAAAGCCACAGTTGATTAGCTTGAGAAACAAATGGTTGCTGACTGTGAGGGTGTTGTGTGGATGTGTGTATATAGTATTTCAGTAAAGTACTTTTCCATTCTCACATTCTGTTTTTGATTTGATTGAAAGGTGGCATTTTTTTTTCCTCTTTGCAATCAGACATGCTAATCTATGTCAGCTTTCTCCTTTATGGGAATGGCGTCTACTGGAAGAAAAAAAAAAAAACCACACAACCATTTAAGTTTTTTTCATAACAACAAGATTCTGTTCTTTAAGAATATTTCAGCACCATTAATTAGAAAGAAGGTTTTATTAACCATAAGGCTAGCACTAACAGACCACAGAGCTGTTTTTTAAAGTACTGTATGCCATAGCTGCCCTGCTTTTTTTCTGTCTAAAACTTCATTTTGTTATACTCTCATCAATCACTTAAGTCATTATCGTAAATCCTACTATTGTTAATTTTACTAGTATCACCCTAATGAGACATTCCTGCTATAATTAAAAATGAATTCTAACTTTCAGGCATTCTAAATTTTTTTTTTAATGAATTTAGAATGATCTTGCCATATGACTATAAATACCACTGATATACATGGACTACTCATCAGTCTGTAAGAAAAGTAGTATCATTATATGTCCAGGTGTGAATTATTTACTGGTTGCTTCTGTGCACATGTGCTTATGCATATGTACATTTTTGTGCACATATTTAGGAATTATGTTCTTTCTATCATAAAGCCTAATATGTTTTACTGAAGCTACTGATAAATCCTTATTCTTTGTCTTGCCAAACTATAGGTGTATGTAACACAAACAGTACTACTCTCTGTAAGTAGGTGTCCTAGAGCACCATCTGCTGGATATACTTGGGGACTTAATGTTGGTAAATTTGAAAATCAGTACTTGATAATGTCAGCTGTACTTTGTTTTTAATTGGCTGTGATATATTATTTATGGTCATAAATGCCAAGGTACGTACATTTGTGTTGAACCATGTAAGTGTGTAAAAGAAATCACTTTCTTCCTTCTTTTTCCCCCACCCTCAGGTGGATTTGGAAATTTATAATAAGCTATTGTTTAAGGAAAAAGTAAGCACAACCTATACCTAATGAAACAAAGCATCAGTTTGTCATGAGACAAACTCTTACCTTCTTGAGATCACAGGTCTTCAGTAAGCTACAGTGGAAGAAAATTTGGATATTTTAACCTTATGTTCACTTGATTCTGAATATGAAAGCAATGCTTGAAACAAGTAGCCTTCTTATACCTTGACCCTTGATCCAATTCTTTGTCTAGAGCAT